CTGAGGCAACCGGAAGTTTAGTCACACTGATGACCTGTGATACCGCAGAAACAGTCTGTCTGTGGATGACAATATATATATATATATATATATATATATATATATATATATATATATATATATTAACGTGTACACCGAGGTAAACACAGAGGGGTGACAATTTGTTTCATGCTTGAAATTCAGGCCATGTGTGTGGTGACTTGAAAATTTATGTATGCTGGTTAATACGGCATTATGAGTAGCAAGGTCAGGTATTTCTGTTTTATTGTATTTTACTAACGATTATTAACAAATGAAGCAAATAATGGACAAATTAACAAACTACGAATGCACGCTTAAACACAAGTAAACTGAATAATGATAACAAGAATTTAATAATAATAATAAGAAGAAGAATCAACAACAAACAATTAATGAATAAATCCCAAATCCCATGACATCAATAATAGATAACGATGTTTTAAAAAATAATGAATAAATCCCCAAATCCCTAAGTCATTAATATTAGATAATGAGTTTAAAATTAACAAGAACACTATACAATAGCTACAAATAACTGAATTCAGATCCACCATTACTTCTACTCAGTAGCCTTTAGAATGGTTTGAAATATAATCGTTACGGCCAACCAATAACATTTTTTTTCATTTTATATGTGAATTCTATACGAAATAGAAAAAAAAGAAAAAGATAATTCTTAACCTTTCTTAGACTTTATGTTGCACTGATTTAGCAACAGCCTAGAACTTAGTGTCCACTGAAAATCAACCAATAAAAACGACTTAATAAACTTCTATTCCCATCATAACAACAAAATAAAATCCGGAATGATCATTGGATTCTGTTTAAGAGCATTCAGAATTTGCAGCCCTCAGTATTTACTAGAGGAGAAATATATTGAAAATACATTCAACATTTCTTTTCTTCATACACGTTTCATTAAATGTGACGGACAAAGAAAACTTCTCAGTTTTTCTAATGTTTGTTATTTCTGGTGGGTGGGTATCAAGCGTGTGAAGAAACTGTTCGTAGGGATTATTGTCCCACGTGTTTTCGGCCAGTGTAAGTTATCTACAAGTTTTTTTTTCATAGAAAACTGCATAAAAAAACTCATAAGTGTTTAGCTTTCCGTCACATTCAAGGAAAGGTGTATATACATATCATCATCATCATCTGGTTTCACTGCTTGTACAGATTCTCCTGCCTTCTGTCTCTCTCTCTCTCCCTTTTTCACTCAACCGCTCGCACGAACGCGCCATCCAATTCTATTGGACATCATATTCAGTTGGTAGGAGGGATTGCAATGTACGTCATGCCGAATCTACTTAATGCAAATTTGAGGCAAACGACAGGACGCACGCACACACCCACATATATATATATATGTATTAATTTATATTATAATTATTATATTATTATACTTTCTAATACATTTTATATATATATATATATATATATATATATATATTAATACTTTATTATAGAGAACACTTCGTATTTGAAATAAACGCTCCATTTATTAAACAATTTGTATTATCTATTGGCCTGTGCATTCGAGAATTCTTAGTAAAATCTGTTCTCCCGCAGGGATCGAACCTGCATCTTTCTTTCAAGATCAAAACACCGTTTGAATAGGTGTGATTTACCTCTCGGCCAACGTCACCATAAGCAAGTCTCTCTCTCTATCCTTCCCTCTCCCTCGTTTGTCCCCCCTCTCTCTGTTGACATATACATACATACATACATATATATATATATATATATATATATATGAAGAAATATAGTCTTAAGATGTGCTATATTTATGGGATAAAGTGGTCAATATCAGAGATAGAGCGTGTGTAAATATAAAAGTGAACATAGAAATCAACACTTAGGGCGACAGTCTGTTTTTCATCCTAGACGCAATCTTGAGCCCTGACGATTGCATCTAGCATGAAACAGACTGTCGCCTCTAAGTGTTGACTTCAAGTTCACTCATATATATATATATATATATATATATATATATATATATATATATATATGATTAAAATATAATTTGAAGGTATGGGTATAATATCCAGAATAGAACGTATGCAAATATAAAAGTGAACATTAAAATTAACATCCAATGACGACAGTCTGTTTCAAGCTTAACAACAATCATCACATGTCGCCGCCTAGTGTTTACCTTCAATGTCTACTTATATATATATATATATATATATATATTCACTTGTATGGATATGAGTTTGCGATCATCAGACCAACTGAGCAAACAGCGCATATAAAATATAATGTCTATATACTATATATATATATATATATATATATATATATATATATATATGTAAGTACGTATGTATGTGTGTGTGTGTATGGTTGTATGGGTGTAAGAAGTATGTATATATTACAATAAATACGCATCTCCGAGGGAATGTTGAAATATCTCGGCACAACTCACTCCCAAATTTCTGACCTAATAAATAATCAACAAAATTTTTTTGAATGCGTTCTTGGTGAGGTCGATAGTGGTTAGCACCTCTCCACCTTTTCATGCTAATACACGTTCACACACACATACAGATGTATCTACACTTGTACATATGCGTTCGCACATATATGTAGGAGTATGTATGAATTTGTTTATATTGTCAGGTTCAGCCAGTTCATACCAATGTCAACATGTGTATCAGGTAAACCTCTCACTGAAATCTTTCGGCAGGATAAAGTTCGGATTGTGGCTTTTTTTTTTTATGTTGACGAACCGGGACGGATTTTTTTTTTCTTTATCTATGTTTTTGGAATTTCGTCTACGTATTGTTACAATAGGTTCTTGACTTTTTATATTCGTCTGCCTTGAGTGGTTGTACTTCGTAACAACTTCCCGCCACATAGTCTGATAAGACCGGTTAGCTGAACAAAGTAATCTCTTTTTCTTTTCCTGTTCCATCGTTGAAATGTTAGCACTTGCTAAAAGTTTTCAACCCGACTTAACTGCTCAAAAGTTAACCAAATGTCCAAACATCACATTTCATTAGAGATCGGATTTCTTACCCCCGCCGAAAACCTTTCAGCACCCCTTGTAGAAATAATCTAAATACTCTCTCTTTTTATGTCTATATTACATTTATCTGGGTACTGCACAAACACACAACGTTCGTCCTGGGTATGACGATAAACTACATCTGGTAGCAAGGCCTCTTATCGGGAGATTGGAAGTTTTGAGGCACGTAGAATCACTACTTATCTATTGTTGTTCCCTAGTTCATCCTGATCCGGGATGATAGCACTAGTTAGGGGCTCAAATATGGACAGATAATGAACTCACAAATAAAAATCAACATTATATTTTTATAATAAAATGAATCACAATACTTTTTTGTCGACGCGATGTAATAGTTATCAAGCTTGTTCCGAAAGATCATTTACGACTGAATAGTGAGTTTGATCCTCACTGGGTGGTCCATAGTTTTGGTCTTGTGCAGTATCTAAGGTATGCTTAGAAAATCACCATTTTTCTAGCAAAATGAAAATCAATACAACACTAAAAAATATAATTGATTTTTATAGTAAAATTAGCGACAATACAATTTATGATCTACAAACTTGTTATGGTGAAATAAACCTATTCTATAATTAATAGACTCTCTCACCTAATATAAGTAGGTGTAGTAGTAGAAACGTGAGTCAGTCGCTGTCGGACGACAGTCGAACTCTCTGCGTTCGGACAGAGAGGAACCCGGACGAGGCTATGCCGAAGGGCAGAGTTTCGTCCGGGGAGGTAGACAGATCCGACCCCGTTTTTGCGGGGTCTACGGGGATTTTTTGGCCGAGCCGCCGGGCTCGGGAACCCCACATTAAATTCGGCCTTGTGCCACATGAGACTGCGTGGGGCAGTTACTAAATACCGTCAATGTCAGACGACCGACTGAACGGTTGAACTTCTTTGCCTTCGGGCGGGGAGGAACCCGGACGAGGCTACGCCGAAGGGCAGAGTCTCGTTCGGGGAGGTAAACCGACCCCGAACCCGTTTATACAGAGATCCCACGTTAAGCCGGCCTTGTGCCACATGATACCCTCGTGGAGAAGGTGACTAAATACTAGTCGATGTCGGACGACCGGCTGATCGGTTGAACTCTCTGCCTTCGGGCGGGCAGGAACCCGAACGAGGCTACGCTGAAGTGCGGAGTCTCGTTCGGGGAGGTAAACCGACCGTGAACCCGTTTATACGGGTTCAAAGGGTATATTTTTGGCCGAGCCCACGGGCTCAGAGATCCCACGTTAAACCGGCCTTGTGCCACATGATACCCTCGTGGTGGGGTGACTAAATACTAGTCGATGTCGGACGACAATTAGTCGAATACGAAAGTATCAGCGACCGCAACTAGATTACTCTGCGTAATACCTATTATATCAAATTACTAACGTTTTCTGCGTCGAACCTATTTTAGGACCGATTTAGTACAAATACAAGCCTCCACTCCGAAATCACTCCACAACAAAACTATATATCTAAAAACATAAGTTTACGCTGAAACTATAATATTATGTACAAAGTATTTAGATTTCAGCAGTAAATAAACCATGGAGTTCGACATGCCGCTAAACAACACACAACGTGGTGGTATCTTTTTGTTGCGTCAGTCTATTAAGGGGATGTCTTAAAAATCAATATTCGTTTTAGTTTATAAACGCCAAGGGATGGAGGTAGCGCAATTGTCATCGGCCAAAAAAGTGGATTCGGAAAGCTGAGTTCTTGTTCAGATCCAGTCGGTTGAATTCACATTCGCAAAAATGCCTTTAGGTAAGGTATAGATACATCTCTTTTTTTCAGTTATGTGTTAAATAGAGCGTAGACTGGGCACTTTAGGAGAAAGACTAAACTGGATTAAAAAAATAAAAGCAGTACAAGAATCCAGTCTACCATCTTTCCGAAGAATCCATAACAATTTGCAGAAATGGAATCTTTGGTGAGCCTTGAGCGCTTATGTGGCAAGAGACATAGCTTAAAAAAT